AAAAACCAGAATAGACTAGCCAAGCGGAGGGTCGAATTTCATGCCATTATTTTTCTCAAACGCTATTACTAACTGGGTAAGCCGGTACTAGCTAGAATCTTACGTAATCCACCAAAATAAAGCACATTTCACACCCGAATTCCAAAATAAACCCTCTATCAAACTTATTAAGCTATCAATAAAGGGTTTTCAATGAAGAAACAATACCTGTGAACAGCCTTGATTTACAGTACTGTAGAGTCGACGTCCTAAGAACTTCTCCGTGACAGGTAGTGGTTTCGTTGTGTGACTTTTAATAACCTTCCACAAATGCGGCGATTCGCCAAAATTACAGTTCAAATATGATGCTTGTGTAACAACCTTTGGGTTCAAATAGGGAAAATTCCTTTTAAAACCCAGGTGAACTTCAACTTTACTAAAAGTATTCGAAACGTTGGGCCTCTGTCGACTGATGAATCGAGACAAACGGTGAAGTGCCAAGCGGTTTGCAGGGCTTGTCATTTCGACATCAAATAATCTACCGAGCACATCTATAGGACTGAAAGAGAGCCGAAGCCATCCGTGTTAAATACTACATCAGCGAGAGTCGAAAGTCCAAACTGAGGAAAAAGTAACCTGTATTACATCAGACGATTGCAACACTAAGATCTGTTGCGTTACCTATCGCCGTTATGACGTTAAGATGACGTTTAGCCTCGTTCCTAGAATGTGTGTGTTTCCAGTCAGCGGTTTCTCACCTCGTCTCTATAGCAATAACAGACGATTGTTCCATCGAAGCAGGAAAGAGTTTGGACTATTGAGTCAATTAGGAGTTTCATTTGACGTTTATTTTTCCCGCAAAGTTTGTACCACAATGAGTGTACGGACATATAATCCTTCAGTTCTTATAGGGAACTGGAATGAAGATATTTGCTTACAAGAGGTTCGTGAGATGTGAGAGTTCGATTTATTTGTACATAGCCTCTGCGATAACATCCGTGAATTGGATGGAAATATATTGTTTTTATTCTTGAAGTCAGCTCAAAACTTATTCGTTTGCAGGATAAGCTCAAAGATTTCCTTGAGAAGAAAGAAAGTGGAGAATTACTGATACAAAAAGCTAGCAATCTCCTCCAAAATATACTCAAGAAGGTAAGAATGCGTAATCGAATTATTTCTTAGATTGGAAATTGTCAAATTTATATAAACTTGCTTTGCTTGATTTGAACTTACTTCTTGTTTATTTTGCAAATTTTACAAACTCTCACAGTATAGCTCGTTTAATAGCTTTCATGCCGTCAATACATTCTTAACTTGATCCCAGTTGCACTTTATATTTAGATCATGCGGATCGAGCTCTAAGCCTGGCAAAAATAGTACTCGTGTGTTACTTCAACAGTAAACATAAACATATTAAGATTCCCCGCTGAGGTTTTCTATTTTTTCAGTGCTGTGTATCCCGAAACAGTTGCCCTTAATCTGTCTGAATTCTTAAAATCAATTGGAAACTACTCTCTATTTAACAAATATATATCATGTTTCGGTGCATCTGTTCAGTAAGATAACTCAGATAGCATTAAAATGTGATAAAGAAAGAAAAACGTGGCACACGAGGCGCAGCTGAGTGTGTCACTTAAGTGTATGCTACGTTTTTAGATCCTCTGTGATTTATGAGTGCACAGACTGACAGCAATATGAAATCTATTCGGTTTATCAGTCATATTATCAGAAACATTCATATGAATGTTTCTGATAACATGGCTGAAGAATACACTCTTACTGTAGCACAAGAAAGTCTCGTCACTCTCAAACAGTATATGAATCCTTATGATATTTCCATTTTACTTTCAACCTGTCATTGCATTGTGTTATTCCATTCCTTGCAGGTCAACCTGTCAGTATCCCATGATGGTTATCTTCATTATGGTGACACAGTTTGTATCTTCAATCCAGCATCAGAGACAGCACTTTCGGCAAATATGTCTGAAAGCAAAATGCATGATGAAAAGAGACTTGTGGGGCCATGTGATGTGTCAGCTTCAAAGATGACAGATCCTTGCATTCGAAATACTTTCGTTATAGGGTGAGTAGTTTTGTTTACAAGCGCAATAACTTACTTGGGATGTTATGAGAACACAAGAAAATTCTTGCAAATGACCTCAGGTTCATGATTTACAAATTTCTCTTGTGATCCCCAAATTCTTGCATGGGTTATTACCCTGGTAAACCAACAGAAGTTGCAGTCTATTGCTTAACTCTTTAACTCCAAATGGTGATTAACATGAAACTTCTCCTAAGAATATCTATACATTATTCTGCAAACAGGCAATGAGAATATTCAAATTTATCAGGTAGAAGCTGCTCTCCCAGTCTAGCACAAAGTTCTCCTAACTAATTCACAAGGAGATGTGTAGCAGTTAGAGGGAAGAAGTAACTCTCAAATCTTGAGAATTAAAAGGTTAAATAAACACTCTTGGCTTTAAATACCAAGATGAGCAAAGAGAGAGCTTTGAGAAGGAAGGAGCTGTAACAATAGCTCTTTGTTAATACATGAAGAGCCTTATAACATGTGTGGATAAGTCATCAAACTTGAAGTAGGTACCATCATGATTTTACAAACCAGCTTTTGCTTCATATAAATGTCCAGAGTATAAAAGGCTTAATTTGGATACTTACAGGTGTCCATATGGCAAAATTATCAATTGCAATTATCTGCAAATCTGCAAGGTCCTTAAAGTCGCATAATTTAATCATGTATTGTATAATTTTATCACCAGGCCAAGAGCGGAAGGTGATGGAGTTTTAAGATTTAATGAGCCCTTTGCACTGAGTACCTTACCAGGAGTTGGGGGAGAGGTAATATGCAATCAAATTAAAACCAAGCAAAACTACTGTATGTTGAAAATTTAGGACAAGTCAAGATATTCACCAGCCATCAAAGATGGAAGAATTCTCTGCCTAAAAATTTTTATGGTCTGGATAGTTTTTTCTCACATGTGGAAGAATATGATGTTCTGTTACTTCCACTGTTCTCCTGTCGCCGCAATTTTTTCATGAAAACTCAGATATCTTAACATACAAAGAGTCAGACTGCATAATGTGATAATGGGAAAACTCTTAATTTCTCTCTTTCTAATCTTTTGTGCTTTAATGATAATTTGTATCAAATCAGTTCCCCTCTCAGTTTACCTTAGTTTGTAAAGTTTCTATTGCAGAAAAATGACTTTACTTTCTATCAGAAGATTACCTGTTTTTGTTTTTTGTTTTTTTTTTTAATAACAAGACCAGCTTAAAATGTTGAATGGAATTCAAGTGATCATGCCAAACAATTAACTGCAATGATTCCCTTTCTATTCCCTTTGAGCATGGGCCATACAGGCTACTTGGCCTCAGTCTAAAGCCTACTAAAGCATGGTTAAGGGCCAATTCTTAACCAAAGTCAAGTTGATCAGACATTAACAGAATGTTTTACATCTACTTGTTTTCCTTGTAGCTCAAATTAATGAGTGACAGAATAACATTTAATGAATGTGCCAAGAAGTCGAGGCAACAGCTGGTTACTCTTAAGGAAGATATGACTTTTATGTCTTGCTGGTAAGTAACTGTGTATTTCAGTTAAATAATTTACGTCATATTTCATCCGCTTGTGATTAGCAACCCCTTTAAATACCTGAAGCTTGGAAAAAGAGGTTCTTTTTGGTGAAGCCTTCCTATATGGACCAATATTTTCACGTACTTTACAGAAAATCTATTAATAATGTGCTCTTAACATGTGCAGTTATTATTTTTATTTATTTTTTGTGTAGGAAAATTCTTTGCCATGACCCTCAGCAGCGTTTAGAGACAGAAGGAATGCCTGTCCCGGTAAGTTCTCCTTCTCAGATCAGCGCGTCTAGATGAGGTTTTATATTCAGTGAGAGAATTGAACCAACTTTGGAAATTATCTTCTCTGTGTTTGCTTATTGGTTATGTAGAGAGAATTTTAATCACTATCAGCAATTAAAACTGATTTTGGTTTCTTTTCAATAGGCAAACACGAAAGTCATTCTGAACCACGTGAAAACAAACCAGAACTTAGCCGCCTTGACGGAGTTTTCTTTCAGGTTTGTCATAGAAAATATTGATGATTGAGGATGAATTGTTTATTTCCCTATTCTTCAAAATTAGCGAGATTTCACAATTTATTATTGTGTTGCTTTGTATTCTCTGACTTTTCCTGACTCACTCTCCCCCTTGCAACCCCCTCCCTAACCCCCCAAAAAAGTTCAGCAATACCAAGAATGACGCGCTTTTCTCCTCCCGCGGGAAGATTTGAGATGAGTTGGGAATAGGTGCGGCGGGGGTCTGGCACTAATAATGCCTCATTTTCAGTGCTACACCCCTTACAAACCTCTTGTCGGCCCGCATTGCTCAGGGATTTATGCTTTCCTGCGGGCAAAGAAACACTCGTGCTGAGGCGCTAATGATCAGGGCCTGCTCCCAAGCTATGTTTTGATTTATTTGCACTGTATTGAAAAAAAGACGATTTTAATGAATATTTTTATCGAGGAAAACTTGCTGATCCCTTGATTTTTGGTTGACGGTTGCGTGTTGCCAGTAACTTGGTGTCTCACCTCTGAAGTACTTTGTTATTAGCACTGTTAAAAAAAAATTCTGTGCTACCTCAACTTTAGAACACCGTTTGGAAGAGAGTTTGAAGTGGCCGCCAAAACTGAAGTAGACTCTCACAAAGCAGAAAAACCGAGCAATCACTGGGTGTTTAGAACAAGAGAAGTACAAGACGCCGCCCGAGAGCACGAGTTAGAAAGAGAACAAGAATTTAAAGACTTACTTACAAGACAACAAGCTGCTGAGGCCGAGGTAGCCGCTGCCCCCCCTGCAGATGAGGCACCTGGTGCCTCTCAGAATAGTCAGCCAGGGGGAAGCAACCCTCCTGCTGATGTGTAATTTCATAACTGTTCATAAGTGCTTCTTAGTGTATTCAATGAAAGCATGTGATATAACTTATTGGACTGACTTAAAGATTTAAAATAATTAAAATTCCATTAACGTAAACTTAAAAATATTGGCAGACTGTATAGATTCATTCTCTAAACCTTTGTTAATGCTTCGTTCACCCTACTCGATGAATTTTTATTGAATGAGATTCGTACAAAGTAGTTGGAAATGTTTTTTGTCTCGGTTTTTTTTTTCGTCGTTTCAGTTGATCTAGTGACTATGGTAGGTGAGATTCAGGCTTAATTCTTGCAGTTTGTAAACGTTCACTTTTTATTGTAATTGTTATTTGCATTTAATTTTGAAGAACCATCTCTTTTAATTGAGCTCGTGTGAGTTAATGAACGAGTTTCTTGTCTGCAAAGACGAAGTAAATTCAGGAAATTGTACACTTAATGTAAAACATGTTAACTAAATCGCTTTAGATTTTACAAAAAGAATCTCGATGATTACGAAGTATATGTTACTCATTTTGAAACTGTACATAGAATATATGGTCCACAGCTTTTGGCAACTAAACTATCCTTTGATTTATTTGTCGTCAGTGTACGAAACGGAAAGCCTCTCCCTCCCCCTCCCCTCACCATATCACACTGTCTTCTACCGCGCTTTGTTTGAACTGAACGCCTGAAGCAGACCAAAGACTAAAGACCAGCAGATCATCAAAAATTTTTCGGGTGCCTTGATTGTTCTTGTTCGACACCTTACAAGAAATTTCCAACTCATTTTATGAGATTTCTAAATGATTCATCCGTTCTTTGTTTGAAAAAAAGCAGTCATCAGTTTATTGCGTTCTCTTTTTCTTTTTTTCCCTCTCTCTGCAATACACAAACTATTTTGTCCTTTGCGTGATTTTTCGTACTTCGCCCACCCACTGCCATAATACTTGTATTAGTCTGTCACCAAGTTAGGATAACCTGTAAAAGGTATGTAAATTAATCCACTCGGCACTAATCTTGGATAATTTATCGTCGTCGATCCATCTCTCAGCAATTTCTAACCTGGCCTAACCTAAAATGTAAACCTAACTGATTCCCACGCATATTGATGTTGTTGATGCTGTAGTTGTTGATCACGCAAATTCTCTCTAGCTTCACTTTCCTCGACTCAACACTGAGAAAATATATCTAGGCAAGACGATATTCTATTTTGGTGTAGGAGGAGGCTAACTTCTCGCCAAGCAAAATGTAGACCCAAGGAAGGCAACAGGTTCTTTTGTCAAGAGCTGTTTTCAATACGCGATTTGATCTTGTTTGGGTTGCAATGAGTTATTATACTCTGTTAAGAGAAATCTTGTTACTCGATGGAGGTGCAGAAATTGTCGCGGCACCAAAGGAAGGCAAAAATTCTGAGGTTTCATTAAAAGTCAGTTGCCGGCGGTCTACAACCACCTGTAAGACATCTTACCGCCTTCGAGTTAGCTAGCGAGCACTCTCGTGTTTGAGTTTGGCAGGCACTGCCGCTCATTAAACCATCGGCAGCCTTTAATGGAAACAGTTGTTGAAACCCAGCGGAAATTGCAAGGGATAGAGGAGTGTCAAGTAAAATGTGAGGGTAAAATGATGAAAGTTTGAACCTTTGCTCCCTTCCTTCTCTAAATGCCGCGGAGAAGACGCATTTTCAACCCTAAGAAGTACCAGCTTTTAGGTGGTCATTAGGGAGGAGGGGAAGGGGGTGGCTCCAAATCTCGTACCCAGATCGTACCGCGTAACTGCCCGTAGAAGATCTGGATACGAGACTAAGAGGCTCCTGCGCTAAACTGGTGGAGTAACTGCTCTTTCCATCGGCAAATCTGATATAAAACTAAAGAGAGTTTTACATGTGCTCTTAAGATGCGCCTAGTATCGACTTATTTATGTAATAATGTAATGTAACATCATGTAACATCGGCTTACTTTGGCCTAGAGCCACCCAAAGGGCGAAGATGCTTATATCCTATGCAAGTTTATACGCACAGTATAGTATCCTTAAGACTAAGGTTACACTAAGGTTAAGACTAAG